CACACTTGCAGCTGGTGTTCCAGGCAGTGGAGAGGAACCAGGGTAGCATGCCTGGAAACTTTGCTTGTTGCACAGCATCCTGCCTGCTGCAGAGATGGCCTCAGCATTGTTTTCTGGGCCCTACCCAGCCCAGAACCCACACGTTAGGGATTTCCGGCAGCCTTGCCAGACTACCTTCACTTTCCTAAGAACCTTTCCCCAGGCAGCTGGGGCGGGGGCTGAGCTGGACCCAGGCCCCTTGTCCGGGGCAGGGACTGCTGGGAAGCACAGTGGCAGCAACACTGTCAACATCCTCTTGACCTGACAAGGCCTGGCTCTGGATTCTGCCTTTCTTCTCTCCTCTCCTGCAGCCAAGGTTTTTAAAAAAGGCCTTACGTTTTAGTGCAAGTTGAAATCAAGGTACTCGAGTTCAGTCCCAGCCCTACTATCAATGTGATGTGATCTGGGCAAGTCTCTCCTTCCTGGGCGCTCATGAGACAGACCAGATGCCCCAAGGTCCCTGTACACTGCCATGCTGTCAGGTCAGTCTCTCTGCTCTGATATTCCTGGAGTATAATCTCCCATGGGCATGGTCAGTTTCCCTCCCATGTTGCCCACATTTAGACAGAACCATGTGACAGTCTCTGAGGTGCATGCCTTGGTGGGGGGCCATTCCACCAGCATCTCCCTGCACTCAGGTGCCTCTGTGAGCTGGGAAGAATGCCAGCCTGGCAGGTGGAGGTGAGGACTACACGAGAGAGCTGAGGTCAAGGACTGGCCCCACACACTCAAGCTCCCTGCTCCTGCCTCCAGGTCAGCTGGATAAACTCAGTAGCTGGAGTTCATCTGTACAAAGGCCAGACCCAGGATGCCTTAGCGCGGAGGGGCAGCGTGTGTCTCCCACCAGGTGTCTTGCTTCCCCCTGTGGCTGCACCACCAACCTCTCTTCCACTGGAGCCCAAGGTGGCACAAGTCCGGTAGTGTAGAATCAGCATTGTCCCTGGTGAGATCAGCACCGTGGAATTAGCCAAGCAGGATCGCCCCGAGGATTCTGTGCTCACAGCCAGTGACTCACAGCCATGAAAGCGCCTCGTGAGCAGTGACTGCCGACCTGGAACAGCCACAGCTGTGGACACAGGCTCACCTTACATGGCAAGGCACCTTTAAAGGCAAGGTGCTTGGGGTGGCCCGGAGGCTTTGCCTCCAGCCTGAGACCTCTGCCAGCTCTTCACGCCTACCAACCTGGGGTGGAGAGGTCAGACCCCACACCTGGGTTCAAATTTCGCCTCGTCACTTAGATATGACCTTGGGCGAGTCAATCTCTCTGAACCGGTTTCTTCATTTACCATGCAAAGTCATACATGCCTCACGAGAGTGGAATTGAATGAGGTAATGTATGTGAAAGTGCTCAGCCAACGGTGCCTTTTAAGGAGTGGCAGCTGGACGGGGGGGAAGGGCTTAGATGGGAGTCGGGGCCCCTGGCTGGGCCCCGGTCCCACCCCTTACTCACTGGGTGTCTTAGAAAATTACTCAGTCTCTGACCTGACCCTACCTGCCTGGATCGCCAGTTGTGAGACCCAGAGCACACACAGCCGCTTCACAAGGTGACAGAAGAGAGGCTGGCGCTTCTGAGCACTCAGGGACGAGCTCTGGTGCCCAGGCTGCCTTCTTTTTTTTTTTTTTTTTTTTTGTGCACATTTCATCTGGTGCGCGTGGGTG